TACTAAGTAGTTCCAGCGTTGACCGCTCGATAGCGCCGCTTACCCGCGCTAGAAAAAATCAGTCCGGGAACTTTCCGGACAAACTGTGTATAAGAGGCACAGTGTGCTCGCGCAGTTCAAGCGCCACTTCGTTGCGTGTGAACTTGGCGCGAAACACTACCGTGCTTCTTGATCTTGCGAACTATATTTATCTTGCCTGTTATATACATTTTCAGAATAAATCGGTGAAACTTGTCGAGTCGACAAACTGCCGTTTCGAAAAAAAAAAGAAGTTCACCAAGTCGTTGTCGACAATCGAAATCGGTCTTATCCTTTCAGTTGCTTTCTAGCAAAAAGAAACAGACACATTGTCAAGCTCTTGCACAGTGCGAGAAATTAGCGATAACGATAGATTAAGTATTCTAAATTCTTATTTTTTAATTTATGATGTATTAATTTAATTATTCTATTTTCTTGTCATGTAAAGTAAAAATTTCTTATTTCTACTTTTTAATATTTATTCCTATTTTTAATATTTTATCTATTGTACGCAAAGCCTAACTTGTACCGAAAAATACAATAATGCTGCTACTTTAAGAATTTAAATTTACTGTGTTTTTTCAAATAAACCTTTGCAGCAATGCAGCAATATACAATTCAACTGTACGTTACTCGTGCATGAATGTTTGAACAATAGGTTCATTAAAAATGGGTCAAAAGTAAAACCTGAAACATTTGGAGTAATCAACTTTAAGTGATTTTTTTTATAGAGCAAAACATCTCGTTCAAGGTTCCACCAGCCCAACAAAATCGCTAATTTCGAATTTTTATTCTTACTTAATCGTCTTACAAAAACATTTATTCTCAAAAACATCTTTGTCTTTTTGGAACAAACACATGTGATTACATTTCATACACTTAATATTGTATTTACGTCATTGTCTGCACGCCACGACACACTTGACAGCTCGATCTGTCGAACTTTGACAGATGACAAGAAGCTAACTTCAAGCAATTAAAGCTTTTAATTGATCTCCGCTAAGAAACATATTTTCTCTATACATAAAAGATTATAAAACTTCCGCAAAAGAATATATTACTGAAGAAGTTGCGGCGGAACGTCGGCGAGAGCTCTGCTTCGCCCTATTGTGTACTATGTCGTTGCCGTGGAAAGTCGCTCTCCTGGATATTTCATCGGTGAAGCTGACGATAACTATGGACAGCAATATGTACAGGAATATAAATATAAACGTGACAATTGTTCATAGAAGTATATATTAACACGTTGAATGCCACGCTAGTTTTACAGGGTTTGTATGTGCCACGATGAATTTTCTATTATACGATACATATAATCTTGAAATATTACCTACAACAAATAAATTACGATGTGTAATCATGTTTAACACGTTCATCGTCACGGTGGTCACCGGTGATCCCCGCGGCATTCAACGTGTTAATCATATAGAATAGCACATGCATGCTTATATGTAAAAATTATTCAGATTGTAAGTACAAACTACAATTAATATGGTTTAAAAAAGTTTATAAATTCTCTTATTGCGTGAAATAAATTGTT